TATTCTTTCGCGACCTTTATTAATTAGATATATTATACGAGTCAAGATAAAAATGAATGTGTCAGCATTCTCAATGTCATGGCAAAGTCACGAAGACACATAGTATGAAACCATCATCAAATCGCCTATCAAACCGATACCGCTGTCCTGTCGAACCGCCTGTCTGTTCTATCAAACCGATACCGCTGTTCTGTCCAATCGAACAGCCTGTCGAACCGCCAGTCTGACCGATATACATGTTCTGTTGAACCACCTGTCTGTCCAATCGAACCGTCTATTGAACCGATACACTTCTATCGCTATTGTTCCTAACAGCATAGAAATGTTCTTTCGTTCGCGACCGTCGCCAGGTAGAAATTTGATCCGCGTCAAAGATAAATATGAACGCACACATCTCAGTGTAGTAGTAGTGCCATATACATATATGCCTATCTTTAACTACAAGGAAAGGGAAATAATTAAAATATAATTTTAAAAATTTCACATTTTATTGATTATAATATTAAGATTATACATTTTATTGTTTTATTTGATGATGTGACCACCAGTTATATATTTTAAATACATTTTGTAATGCGCAATTCTTAACATGTTTTTCACAACGCATAGTATTAATAACACTTAGATTATTTAAAGAAACTACATCTTCATAATCGGCATCCAGAGTTTCAATGACTACTCTCGCATCGAGCATATCACCGAGCCATTCTCGTTTTTGATATCCTTTAACGTACACGATAGCCTCGTCGGTATCATCCTCTTCACCAAACACAGCTGTTGAAATCAAATGTTTCGCCATGCTGTACGGAATCATCCCGTCTTCCCATCTCAATCCATGGTGATAAGCAATCAACCAGGAAGCGCCAGACTTGTCGAATTTTGTTAAAGAATTCCATGGCATAGGACTCGCAAAAATGTAATGCGAAAGAACTGTACCTCTTCTCAGGACAGCCACTTCTTTTACGACAAATCTCTTTCCAACGGTGAATCCTTGCAGATCTACAAACGTTGGTACAATCATGACGAGTAATCTATCAAAACTGTGTCCACTTCGCGAATTGTCGCAGTTTTTATCTCGGATGAGAATATTTG